CTCTCTCTCTCTCTCTCTCTCTCCTTGTTTAACACTTGCTCTTTCTTAAACTGTTTCTCAGTGACTTCAATGGCAGCCTCACCAGAAGAAATCTCAGCTCTTGAACTCATTCGCCAACACCTTCTTGATGATTTTGCGTTTGTGGACTACTACTGTCTCTCAAACTTATCAGATAATCCATTATCGCAAACTTCAAGTTCTGGGTCTGTCAATTCTGAGATGAGAAACAGTCCAACTCTCGCTTACTCTGTTTCTCTATCAAACTATGATTCCAAAACTACAAGCTCAGAGCTTGAAGTCTCAAACTACCTCGAACTTGACCAAAACGAACACCACTCACATCAATTCAGTTTCAATTCAAACCAAAACGAACACTTCGAATTCGAAACAAAGACACAGAAAAATGATTCGAAGTCACCAAAAACATCGAGTTTCAGTGATCGCAAACCATCATTGAATATCTCTATACCACCAGCAGCGAAGAATCTTGAGTGGCAGTCAGAGCTGAATAATCCTCAGCCGCAGGTACCGGTGGCTGATAGGAAAGTGTCAGATTCCAGCGAGAAAAAGCACTACAGGGGAGTCAGACAACGGCCATGGGGGAAGTTCGCAGCTGAGATTCGAGACCCAAATCGAAGAGGGTCTCGAGTTTGGCTCGGAACATTCGACACCGCCATTGAAGCAGCAAAAGCCTATGACAGAGCAGCGTTCAAGCTAAGAGGAAGCAAAGCCATCCTGAACTTCCCACTTGAAATTGGGAAAAACTTGACGGAATCTCGCCCACCGGCGAGCTGTGGCCGGAAAAGAGCGAGAGAGGAGGAGAAGGAAGAGAAGGGGAGCCATAAGGAAGTGAAGACAGAGGAGATGACGGAAAACAGTGACGGCAAGAGTGAAATTGTTTCAACGGCGGCTTGTCCATTAACGCCGTCAAGTTGGACCACAGTTTGGGATTCTGGGGATGTCAATGGTATTTTTGAGGTGCCTCCGTTATCGCCGTTATCAACCTATGCAAGTTTAGGTTATTCTCCGCTTATGGTTATTTAAGAGAAAGTTTTTGGGTTTTGACGGAGTTTACTAAATTAAGAAGCACCTGACTCCAAAAAGAGTCTGTGGTGATGTAACTATCTGAATTATATTCACAAAAAAATATACAAAAAAAAATGGATAGGTGGATAAGGTGATGATGAATGTACATACATATTATTATGGTTTTCATTTTGAATATTAATAATATTATTTAGATTAAATTTATTTATTATATTTGTTGATCACATTTAATATTGCTATTAATTTATTAGTAAATTCTTTCTAATATTGAGACTCCATGCTAATGCTAAGTTGTATCGAATGAGATCTAATAGTCGATTATGCATTCATTGATCCAGAAAAATAGGTCATAGTATAAACATATCTGTATTGCTACTTGATTAACAATTGGTTGAACTCAATAAATGCAGGGAAAACTAAACTAAGGGCTGAAGTAACAGTTACAGTAATAAAACTACAACTATTGAGTAAAGCCTTAATATAACGTGAATTAATTTATTAAAAAATTAATAAGAAATATAGAAACATCAATCAAGCACGCAAACTCATAGGAGTTGTGAATTATCTAGGGCTAGTCTTTAGTTTAGTGGAAACTCTAACACTCTTCGGGGCTCTTTGGTATGTGGGTTTAGGAGAGGTTTGGATTATGGGTAGGGGTGATAATCGAGCTGAATTCGAGTATAAACCTTTGACTATTTACACATAAACGAACTTGACTTGTTTGACTATTTACACATAAACGAACTTGACTTGTTTGACTATTTACACATAAACGGGCTTAAAAAAATGTTCAAGTTAGGCTCGTTTTACCGTCATGAAATCCACATACTTGAATTTCATATGTGGATTAAAAGGTTTAATATTCAAATGATATTTATACCCTCATATATCATACATATCCCATAAATACAAATTGATTAAGGAACAAAATAGTTATTTATATATAAATATATTATCATAATAATCATATATTCCTGAGCATACCAAACATAGGTATGAACAACATTGAATGTTGAATCTCATTCTTTAGGTCAAACCCCTCCCAAAAAAAATACAAAGCAGGCTCTTTAAGTAATCTTTTGTTCCAGTACACTGTAAGCTATACTTTCATCATATTATAATTATTGTTATTTAGTTTTACTCATTCTTTCTGTCGATTTCCTTTCATTCAGAAAGTTCCAAAATAAGACACTAAATCAGACGCTAATTTCTAATGATTCTTTTTGGTGTCAACGAGATTCGATCTTTTATTTGTAAGTGGACAACTCACTTATTAGTGGGTGATGATCCGTCTGAGAAAAAAATTAACCAAAAAAAAATGCATTAGATGGGTCTTGGACGTCGGCATGTTGGTTGGTCATGATCTCCAATTTCGTAGGACACGAGGCCTGGCCATTTTTTATCACTAAGCTTTGAATGCCTGAGATTCACAGCATTATGCCATTATCTACCACTCCGACAATTTTTAGCAACTTGGCAGGTTTGTTATGAAGTTGTTTCGTTCAGCCCCACATTGTTTTCCAAACTTAAAATAGTGGACAGTGGTGGACTTTGATTTTTCTCCACCTCCAAGTTGCACAACTCAAGGACAACACGGTGAACTGTCTTCTTGTTCTTTTGCAATCACTCTTCTGTTCAATAACCCAACCCACAGGGCGGCTGTCGGCGTTGGCGGAGTGGGTTGGAGGTGGAGGCCCATGACGGGGAATTTGGTGTTTGTTAGTTAAATAAGTCGGATTAAGGATATAATTGGATAAGTCAATCCAAATTTCATCTGAAAATATTTAATACGTGGTTAAGAAAAATCCAAAACTGTTTAAAGTTTGGCCAATACTCCGGTTGGGATCCATAATTGAGCTTAACCTGAAGATTAAATTTGATGGTGCTCAGATTTTAGGGCCCAAGCCCAACTAAGATGGGATGATATTATGAGAATGGTTTTACAGATTATCGATTTGTGATTAGTTAGACTAGGAATATAAGTGGTTCATCTTAGCCAAAGAACTAAGGCTATGTCCACTATCAACGAAGCTTCTTATTCGTTGGATTTATATATTCAACGGTTGGCGAAATGTCTTTAGTAAGTTTGGGGACTCGTGGTCCACTTACAAAGGATAAGAGGCTAGGTATTCTCTCTTAGTTTTCTGCGTTTTTTTGTTTCTTAGCACTCAATGATCTTCTTTTTCTTTTTTTTGGGGGAGGGGGGTGAGAGAGAGAGAGAGCTTAAGTCCTCTTCTTATTGTTATCCATTTGTACCAGCTTCTCCTAGGGCTTCCAGCTGTCCTTTCCTCTGACCCCCTCCTGCTTCTTCTGCCACCACGATCACTGTTCATCCGGCGTCCCTGTTTATTCGGCGTTGCCGTTGTCATGATCTCTGGCAACTTGGTGCTCCACCTTCTCTGAGATTCCCGCAGGTATCAAGGGTGGTCCCCTTTGCTCATCCAGAAATAGCTTGGATTGAGCTTTTACTCTCCAAATCGCTTTATAGTTTGGACTGGGCCTGGACTGTTGGGTTATAGGCTTTTTGCCGATGTCAGGTCCCACTTTTCTGCTCTGGACCTCTTGGTCTGGTCAGGCTTCTGGGCCATCAAGGACTTGGCCGTAAATTTCATCCGTATCANTAGGAGAGGTTTGGATTATGGGTAGGGGTGATAATCGAGCTGAATTCGAGTATAAACCTTTGACTATTTACACATAAACGAACTTGACTTGTTTGACTATTTACACATAAACGAACTTGACTTGTTTGACTATTTACACATAAACGGGCTTAAAAAAATGTTCAAGTTAGGCTCGTTTTACCGTCATGAAATCCACATACTTGAATTTCATATGTGGATTAAAAGGTTTAATATTCAAATGATATTTATACCCTCATATATCATACATATCCCATAAATACAAATTGATTAAGGAACAAAATAGTTATTTATATATAAATATATTATCATAATAATCATATATTCCTGAGCATACCAAACATAGGTATGAACAACATTGAATGTTGAATCTCATTCTTTAGGTCAAACCCCTCCCAAAAAAAATACAAAGCAGGCTCTTTAAGTAATCTTTTGTTCCAGTACACTGTAAGCTATACTTTCATCATATTATAATTATTGTTATTTAGTTTTACTCATTCTTTCTGTCGATTTCCTTTCATTCAGAAAGTTCCAAAATAAGACACTAAATCAGACGCTAATTTCTAATGATTCTTTTTGGTGTCAACGAGATTCGATCTTTTATTTGTAAGTGGACAACTCACTTATTAGTGGGTGATGATCCGTCTGAGAAAAAAATTAACCAAAAAAAAATGCATTAGATGGGTCTTGGACGTCGGCATGTTGGTTGGTCATGATCTCCAATTTCGTAGGACACGAGGCCTGGCCATTTTTTATCACTAAGCTTTGAATGCCTGAGATTCACAGCATTATGCCATTATCTACCACTCCGACAATTTTTAGCAACTTGGCAGGTTTGTTATGAAGTTGTTTCGTTCAGCCCCACATTGTTTTCCAAACTTAAAATAGTGGACAGTGGTGGACTTTGATTTTTCTCCACCTCCAAGTTGCACAACTCAAGGACAACACGGTGAACTGTCTTCTTGTTCTTTTGCAATCACTCTTCTGTTCAATAACCCAACCCACAGGGCGGCTGTCGGCGTTGGCGGAGTGGGTTGGAGGTGGAGGCCCATGACGGGGAATTTGGTGTTTGTTAGTTAAATAAGTCGGATTAAGGATATAATTGGATAAGTCAATCCAAATTTCATCTGAAAATATTTAATACGTGGTTAAGAAAAATCCAAAACTGTTTAAAGTTTGGCCAATACTCCGGTTGGGATCCATAATTGAGCTTAACCTGAAGATTAAACTTGATGGTGCTCAGATTTTAGGGCCCAAGCCCAACTAAGATGGGATGATATTATGAGAATGGTTTTACAGAGTATCGATTTGTGATTAGTTAGACTATGAATATTAGTGGTTCATCTTAGCCAAAGAACTAAGGCTATGTCCACTATCAACGAAGCTTCTTGTTCGTTGGATTTATATATTCAACGGTTGGCGAAATGCCTTTAATAAGTTTGGGGACTCGTGGTCCACTTACAAAGGATAAGAGGCTAGGTATTCTCTCTTAGTTTTCTGCGTTTTTTTGTTTCTTAGCACTCAATGATCTTCTTTTTCTTTTTTTTGGGGGAGGGGGGTGAGAGAGAGAGAGAGCTTAAGTCCTCTTCTTATTGTTATCCATTTGTACCAGCTTCTCCTAGGGCTTCCAGCTGTCCTTTCCTCTGACCCCCTCCTGCTTCTTCTGCCACCACGATCACTGTTCATCCGGCGTCCCTGTTTATTCGGCGTTGCCGTTGTCATGATCTCTGGCAACTTGGTGCTCCACCTTCTCTGAGATTCCCGCAGGTATCAGGGGTGGTCCCCCTGGACGCGTGGTCCCCTTTGCTCATCCAGAAATAGCTTGGATTGAGCTTTTACTCTCCAAATCGCTTTATAGTTTGGACTGGGCCTGGACTGTTGGGTTATAGGCTTTTTGCCGATGTCAGGTCCCACTTTTCTGCTCTGGACCTCTTGGTCTGGTCAGGCTTCTGGGCCATCAAGGACTTGGCCGTAAATTTCATCCGTATCAATTGGCCCCCAGCCCCAGGTCATAGAGATGTTATCATTTCTGGCCTGGNGGGGGGTGAGAGAGAGAGAGAGCTTAAGTCCTCTTCTTATTGTTATCCATTTGTACCAGCTTCTCCTAGGGCTTCCAGCTGTCCTTTCCTCTGACCCCCTCCTGCTTCTTCTGCCACCACGATCACTGTTCATCCGGCGTCCCTGTTTATTCGGCGTTGCCGTTGTCATGATCTCTGGCAACTTGGTGCTCCACCTTCTCTGAGATTCCCGCAGGTATCAGGGGTGGTCCCCCTGGACGCGTGGTCCCCTTTGCTCATCCAGAAATAGCTTGGATTGAGCTTTTACTCTCCAAATCGCTTTATAGTTTGGACTGGGCCTGGACTGTTGGGTTATAGGCTTTTTGCCGATGTCAGGTCCCACTTTTCTGCTCTGGACCTCTTGGTCTGGTCAGGCTTCTGGGCCATCAAGGACTTGGCCGTAAATTTCATCCGTATCAATTGGCCCCCAGCCCCAGGTCATAGAGATGTTATCATTTCTGGCCTGGGGTTAAAGATGACATTACTGGGCGTGTTTTGGGCTTTCAGAGTGATGACTATGTCTGGCTATTGGTTCTGACCAGGATTGGGTCATGCCTCCGTTTGCCGGCGATGATGGGATGACAATGCACACGTGTCACCATCAGGTGAGCTCATGGATACGGCTTTTGTCGCTTGTCCTGTCACTTGCCTGTCTCGAATTTAATGCTTCACGCATACATATACGTCCCTCGTAAAAAAAAAAGGGGGGGAGGTCTCTTGGCTTTTTGCTCTGTGGTTTCGAGTTTCACCCTCTCTCGTACTCTCTTCCCTTTTTGTGCATTCGAAGTGTTTTGACCCGGACTTTAGNGTCATAGAGATGTTATCATTTCTGGCCTGGGGTTAAAGATGACATTACTGGGCGTGTTTTGGGCTTTCAGAGTGATGACTATGTCTGGCTATTGGTTCTGACCAGGATTGGGTCATGCCTCTGTTTGCCGGCGATGATGGGATGACAATGCACACGTGTCACCATCGGGTGAGCTCATGGATACGGCTTTTGTCGCTTGTCCTGTCACTTGCCTGTCTCGAATTTAATGCTTCACGCATACATATACGTCCCTCGTAAAAAAAAAAGGGGGGGAGGTCTCTTGGCTTTTTGCTCTGTGGTTTCGAGTTTCACCCTCTCTCGTACTCTCTTCCCTTTTTGTGCATTCGAAGTGTTTTGACCCGGACTTTAGGGCAACTTACGACATCCTCGTCTCTGGTTCTTCTCTTCTTATAGCGTTTCATTAGGTACGTCTTTCTTCCTTTTTCCTTGCTATTTCGATCTGGATCCATTTAACCCTCCCTGGTGGAATTTTGGGTTCCGCTTTTTCGTCCANGGGGGGGAGGTCTCTTGGCTTTTTGCTCTGTGGTTTCGAGTTTCACCCTCTCTCGTACTCTCTTCCCTTTTTGTGCATTCGAAGTGTTTTGACCCGGACTTTAGGGCAACTTACGACATCCTCGTCTCTGGTTCTTCTCTTCTTATAGCGTTTCATTAGGTACGTCTTTCTTCCTTTTTCCTTGCTATTTCGATCTGGATCCATTTAACCCTCCCTGGTGGAACTTTGGGTTCCGTTTTTTCGTCTAGAGATTTAGTTATTTCAGAGAACATTCCGACGATCTTTCTTCCCTTTGGCGATTCGTAGACCGTTCTTCAATGGCGAGGGTATCCTTACTTAGGACCTGGTGTCTGAAACCCTTATTTTTGGCGGATTGTGCCTTGCATTTCCCTTCTCTTCATTCTGGCGTGAGATCCAACATTTTGATGGAAAAATTTGTTGTTTCTTCCTCTTCCGAATCGAAATTCATTAGTGGGGAAGTCGAGGAGACCACCACGGCTTCCTTCAGCGGGCGTTCCCTTTCTGCCGACGGTGGAGTCCCTGAGTCTACTCCCAGAGCTTCATCCCCGATGCCTTCAGCAGAGGCAGTACCTCTTTTCTAAAAAACGAAGAAAATAAAATATGAGCCGGCTCCGCCCCTCGTTTCTAAAAAACGAACTCGTCGCGAACTATTTGACCTGACTTGTTGTGCAGAGAGGACCCCTAGTTGTCTTGGTGATGAGGATTTGGAGGAGTTGAGGCAAGAGTATCATTTTCCTGATTTTGTAGAATTACATTCCCCTAGGAAGCACGAGATGTGCAACTCTATCCTCCCCGGACTCACTTGCTTCTTCGAGTCTGCATTCCGGGATGGTCTTCGATTTCCTATCCATCTCTTCATCCGGAATGTTCTCGGATTCTACAACGTCTGGTCAGCCCAGTTGTCTCCCAACGATTGGGGCCTCTTGGTTGGTTTCCTCGTTCATTGGTTTGAGAGCGGGAACCTTCCCCTTCCCTCTATACGAGAATTTGATTTCCTTTTCCAGTTGAAGTCCGCTCCCTCCTCAGGTTTCTTGTATTTTGCTAAACGACTAAGGGCGAAGACTCTGATCTCCGGGCTTTTGTCTTCCAATAAAGGATGAAAATTGAGGTTCTTTTTTGCCAAGGGCAATTCCTGGGAATTGTCAGAGAGTCTTGCGACGTTCCTCGTGTTCCAAGATCTTGGGGGGTCCCAAGGAACACTCGTAAGACTAATCTACCGATGGGATGATGTTATGAGAATGATTTTGCAGATTATCAATTTGTGATTAGTTAGACTAGGAATATAAGTGGTTCACCTTAGTTGAAGGATTAAGGCTATGTCCACTATCAACGGNAGAATGATTTTGCAGATTATCAATTTATGATTAGTTAGACTAGGAATATAAGTGGTTCACCTTAGTTGAAGGACTAAGGCTATGTCCACTATCAACAGAGGTTCTTGCTCGCTGGATTTATATATTCAACGGTTGGCGAAATGCCTCTAGTAAGTTTGGGGACTCGCGGTCCACTTAGAAAGGATAAGGGGCTAGGTATTCTCTCTTAGTTTTCTGCATTCTTTTGCTTCTTAGCACTCACTGATCTTCTTTTTCTTTTGGGAGGGGGGAGAGAGAGAGAGAGCTCAAGTCCTCTTCTTATTTTTATCCATTTGTACCAGCTTCTCCTAGGGCTTCCAGTTGTCCTTTCCTCTGACCCCCTCCTGCTTCTTTTGCCACCACAATCACTGTTCATCTGGCGTCTCTATTCATCTGGCACTGCCGTTGCCATAATCTCTAGCAACTTGGTGCTCCACCTTCTCTAAGATTGCCTCAGGTGTCAGGGATGGTCCCCCTGGACACGTGGTCTCCTTTGCTCATCTGGAAATAACTTGGATTGGACTTTTACTCTCCAAATCGTTTTATGGTTTGGGCTGGCCCTGGATTGCTGGGCTATAGGCTTTTTGCCGATGTTAGGTCCCGCTTTTCTGCTCCAGACCTCTTGGGTTGGTTAGACTTTTGGGCCATCAAGGCCTTGGCCGTGAATTTCAAAACTAAAATATATGTAACTTAGAATCAAACCATTGATAATTAAACCCTGATTAACCTTGAAATCCAACCTCCTATGTAGAGAATATAGCATACAATCATATAAATCTAAACATGAATAGTAATAAGGTTAAAACATTTAAGTTGCAAGTCAAGATTGAGTTAAACTCGAATTGAGAGTTTTATACTTCAGATTGAACTCATGTTAATTTCTCAACAATCTGACACGTCTCAATAGCAACCCGAGACAGAATTTAATGGAGAAACCATCAAAAGAGTTAACTGGAGTCTGTTCATATGTTATAGTGGAATTCAAAAGCTACAACATGAGTGATACTTTCAAATAATTAAAGATACTCAAGCTAAATAATGTAAAATCATTAACTTTAAATCCTTCTGCTTCTAACCAACTGGGTCTACTATGTTTTGCCACACTTAATTCTCCAACTGTTCTCCAAATCAATTAGTCAACGTAACAATTCTTGGTACAACGATTGATTTTTCATGCCCTTCTTTAGAGATTATATTGTACTCTTTTTTTTTTTGGATTTCTCTTCATCTTTCTTTATTTTTTTTTTTTGCATGCTTATTCGTTGTGATTTCCCAATTAAGTGTTCCACGGACCACAGTTGATAGTCTAAACTAGTGACAATCTAACCCACCATGAGGCCACAAATTAAGACGACTACACGGAATTCTATCGTTCTTAACTCCGCTAAAATCCATTATAACATTTATCGGACTCACATTTAATGTTGGGAAACATGCCACTAAGTCTCATATAAAATGAAATTTTCATTTTAACTTCAATTGACATTTTGCTCAAGTGGTGTGACTAACTACAAATACCGAATTAAAGACGTATAGACTTCTATGGCCTATAAAAGTCCTTGCTTCGTCATACATCAAGAAGGCAACAACTTAAAGGTTTAGTTTGGGAAGGTTAATTTGAATTTAAAAATTAAAACATGTAGTGTTTGGGAAGAAATTTTTGTTATATTGGTTAAGCTTGGGAACAAAATCTTAAATCAATTTAAACTTGGACATTACTAGAATTAGAGTCTCGTGTTTTCAAAACCTGATTAGAATTAGTAAATCTGATTCACTCAAACTCAACCCTATTCCATGAAAGGGTTGGAATTGACCAAATTGAAAGTTCTACAACTGACATGGAAATCAAATTAATCTCTTCACCCACTAGTGGAGTATGGTATTGATGTTTTAGTTTGGGCAGCAAACAAGAGGGCTTCTTGAACAAGTTGTTAGTAAGTCTCCCGGGTCCCATATTTACGTCGACTGATGCTATATTCGGATAGGAACTCACCACTTGTTCATCATAAATTCATACATTTAATCGACCTGAGAGGCCACTGTTTTGTTGTTGACAAAAGGTTGTCTTGACTATGTGGTATTTGTGTAGCAAAGGCGTTAATCTGTATCACTACTAGGAAGTTCAGTTGTTGGAGTAAAAATTGAATGTAACCGTGATACTAAGTCAAAATTATTATGTAATGTTATCATTTCAATAATAATTATCAATTTGATAAAAAATATTAATAATAGTTATCAATAGTATCACCGTTACACATAATATTTTATACAGTTGTTAAGTGTGTTGAAAGGTAAGAAAAAACTATTCTTTTTTTTATTTAAATAAACATTTTACTCATAAAAGTTTGTACATATGCATCAAGAAAAAGTTAATCCGAAAAGATGGAAAATGCATGCCCTTGTTGCATGACTAGGCAAAATAACATGGCAAATGGTGTGAAACTTGGACCATGCTTCCCACTTGACAAAAGGAGGAGGAAAAGAACAGATATTTATAAGACGTAAGAATTTTTGACATTACATGTTAATATTTTATAAATTTAATAGGTAATTAGAGAATTAGAATTAATAAGTTTTAGATGTGAACTTAAAAATGGCATCACTTGTTCAATGAATAATAATCATGTTAGATTACAATTAAATATAAATTATTTTATTTTAACATGACAAACTCATTTAACTTGTACATTATATGAAAAATATTTTATTTTTTATATTTAATCAGTGTTTTTATGTGATTTTGGTAGCAAAAAAATTGATCAACTGGATTTCTAATTTATGCAAAAACTATTTGCATTAGGTTTCGTCGGAAGAAAAATAGGTTCTAGTCTTGCATTTTTGGTTTCAACATTATCTGTGTCAAGTTGAATAAGCCACGATTATTAAACAGATTGATTTAATATCAAAGTACTTTTCACAATAAATGAAAGAACGTAAGCTTTGCTAAGATTGAGTTAAATCACAATAAATGAATAAACTTAAGCTTTACTAGTTTTTAAAAATAGTCGTAACTAATGCTATCTCCTGCATGATACAAACAAGTCCTTTGTGTGACCTGTCACACAATAGTGTCATTATTTCTACCTGTCACATTAAGAACCAAATTGCAGTCCCATTAACATCAGATTGGATAAGATTGATCCTCCTCCGTCCACCTCAAACCCAGCGTAGAACCCGTTTCTATAAAATGGGCACTCCAAGGATCGGAGTAGCCAGGACCCTACCACCACCACCCCCATATAAATAGTGGTCTCTCACTTCTCTCTCCTCCCACTTCAAACACTGTCTGATCTCCTTTACGATGACCACACCAGACGAGTCACTGGCGTTAGAACTCATACGCCAGCACCTCTTACAGGACCTCACTTCTACAGAAACATTCATGGACAACCTCAGTTTCTGTTTCCCTGATGTCGCCGACGGCGAACACATTGTTCCTTTCGAAGAAACGGCTCCTTGTCCTTCCACGTCCGAATCCGACTCCAACTATTTCTTTTCGGACCACCCAAAAAACTCTGAATCACCTACTTCAGACCCGGATTATCTAAATGTCGATTTAGATTCATCGGAGTATGAAACAAAGCCCCAAATCAACGACCTAGCCCCATCGACACCTTTCATTGCCGGTTCTCCAAACTCGAAGGTGAAGCCAAGCAGACCCGAGCTAAGCGAATCCGGGTCAGTCACGAAAACTTCAGAGAATGCCCACAGAAGGCAGTACAGAGGGGTGCGACGGCGACCATGGGGAAAGTTTGCGGCGGAGATCCGAAACCCCAACCGAAAAGGGTCTCGGGTCTGGCTAGGAACGTATGACACAGACGTCGACGCAGCTAGAGCTTACGATTATGCAGCGTTCAAAATGAGAGGAAGAAAAGCAATTTTGAATTTTCCGCTGGATGCCGGGAAGTCTGGCCCACCGGCAAACACCGCCAGGAAGAGGCGGAGAGAGAAGAGAATGGAATTACCGGTACTTGGTTCGTTAACGTCGTCAAGTTCGGCGGTGGTTTGGGAGGGAGAGGATGACAACGGTGAAGGCGAAATTATCAAGCAATTTGGTCACGTTTAAAAAAATTCGAAATTCTGTATGTGTGTTGTGTATATATTAAGTAGATGCTATTGTACAAACCCTTACCAAAGGGAGGCTAATATAGATTGGTTTGTTTAATGTCCAGTGTCTTCCATTTGAATTTAACAAGTAAAAAATAGAAAAAAAAGCACTCAGAAATTGAATTTGACGAGAGTGGAATTTTGAGTATGGCCCGCCACGATTACAGGCTAAAAAATCTCGCGGCCAGAAAGAATATCTGAATTAATCTAGTGAAATCGAGGAAAATCCAATGAAAATTAGAAAGATAAAAGCTCAGTCCTAGGCCCAATCAAAGGTTAGCCTAATAATAGTTCAAGGAAGAAACGGATCATTCGCCCCTAAACAATCCCGGCATGCCAGCTGCGCATTCTCGGACACAGAGGATGGTGGAGCTTAAAGTTCCAAAGATCGTGAGTACTGAGAAAACAATAAAGAAAGATTTTTGCAGGAGAAGGACAAGAGGTCCCCACAAGATCAACAAAAAGGCAGGAGATACCACAAGAAACTCTAAGAGAAACGACTCATATATAAAGAACAGTGTCTTACTAAAAGTAGGGACTTCTCTCAAAAAAACCAAATAGAAACTCTTGGATCAAACCCACTCTCTCTGAAAAAAACGGCCAGAGTCTATAACTTGATTATAATCAAAAGAAACTCAATATACAACTAGAGGGAGCAAAAACTTCATTACAGTGGACATACCCTCAGTCTATTGGCAGAGGTGAACCACTTATTTTTCTTGTTCTTTATTTGATTAGAAAACTCAATCTACAAAACATACTCTAACATCAGATCTAAAAATCTCGCATATCCTGGACTTGGGCTAAAATTTCCAAGACACCATCAGAATTCAAGATGAGTGATGCACAAATTAATAAAAAAAATGGTGAAAAAATGTGTTAGTGATCTAATTCTGGATTCTGCATCAAATTATGTTACGGGGTATCGAAATAGCTTGCCAAAATTAATGCTGACTAACCAATTTCAGAGTCTTGTGCACTTCAAAGAGTAATATGTTGCTAGATCGACCTCATGTCGTCATTGGAATAGAGTTACAGTGTAAGGATTCAGACTAATTTCAGATTAAGCAACCCATATATTATATTGATATCAACTATAACGAGTAAATATTTGGTGTAATGCTGACATTACATTACTATTACCCCTGTACACATAGCATCATCGTCTAATAACAACATAAAAGTCAATAAAGTAAATCACTTTTCTTTACATATAATGGGTCTGTTTTTAATTAATTTAAATATGTAGTTTTTAAAGACTTTGAAATAAAATAAGTTAGATTCATTTAGGATTTAGGTTTTTTACTAGCTTATGTAATAGTTTTCTAAATTCAAAAGAACTTATTTAGGCTGATTTTATGAGTTTTTCTTTTGACTTATTAGATGCATCCCACATAACTTTTTTGTTTATTTTATACATAAATTTTATTAGTAACGTAAAAAAAATTAAAATTTATATTTTTGAAATTATTATACATAATCTATACATATATCTAATTATTTTTTTATTTTAACACAAAAAAATTAAAAAAAAATCACTCTAAATAAATTTTGTCAACTTTTTAAAAAACAATTCAAATGGTTTTGAGAAACTTTTTTAACTTAAACTCTTTTACGGAACTTTTCAAACTATAATTTTTTTTCCTAAAAAAGTCAATTCTAAACATGCTTAATAATTAATTTCATATATGTATGTAGTTATTAATTTTTATTTGATGATAACATTATGTGACAATGATATTGTGGTATCACTGTCGCACTAAATATTTTTTCCCACCTTACTAACTACCATCAATTTAAAATGAGACAAAATTTAAAGACATGCAGAAATATTGGTTGGGGTTCGTTTGTCAGCTCATAGTAGTAAAATATCATACATGGATAATACAATCGTTCCAAGGGAAATGATTAAAAAAATGGATTATAGCCCCTGAATTCAAAGACAATTAAATCCAAATGGGACAGATTAATGAGCCTGGTTACCAATGAATTAAAAGCATACTTGACCAACCAAAGAAAAAAGAATTAAAAGCATGCATTATCGAACTGACTTCCTGGAGAAGAGGTATGTATCCATTTTTTCGGTGTTGATTAACTCATTATATTTCATTAAATGTTAAAAAAAAATGCATGTCTAAAAGATAAATAATTGACAAAATAATAATAATTTTATTTTATGTGCCAAAAGAATATAGCAATGACATCGTACATCAATAGCTTGGGCTTCTCTATAATAATTCGTATCATACATTTACCTTTTCATTACAATATTTCTTGGTTTTTGAAGGAGTTGGCAATTCTTTATCATAATTGTACAATTAGATTTAGACACGTGACAGTTAACACGTACTAAAAAGAGTTATTTGGAATGACTCTATTTTGATTGAGCCAAAAAAGGCTTGACCAATCAAGATTGCAGCTTGGCCAAGCAGATTTTGGCTTCAGTCGAGTAGATTGAGTAGAGAGCCCAACCATGAAGTGAGTCGATTGAAAGAGGTATGCTCGGCGAAAAACATTCCGTGCAAAGAAGCGTATACCAAGCAAAGCCTTATTAAGTATGCTATCAAATAGATAGTATAACACTAGAGTTTGGACAAGAGTTTGACTCTATTTTCAAGACCATGAGCCCTATCTAAATAAGAACAGATTGCTAGGTCATCCCTAGAAACCCAAGATGGATGACGGGATGAAACCTAGGCATTGAAAAAGACTAAAGGCTCAACGGAAAGATAGCTAGGCTACCCCGATAGCTACACAAATTAAAGAAGACTTCGTTAAAAAATAAATGTGTCCAGTATATCTTAAGTCTATAATAGACACTTCTTTTCCTGCAATTGAGTTTCTTACTCTCAAAATCCTTATTGACTTTAAGTATTAGAGTGTCTTTAACTAGTCCACCCTGACCCCTAATAATTTGTTCGTTTTGCAAGAAAAAGGTACACAATGTTTATTTTGTCTCAAAAACCAAGCACACAAATTCTACGTCATGCCAATATCAAGGGCGAGATTTTTGGGGTTTTCTCTCAAAAACTCCAATCTCCGCATTCTATAATTTACACTTATATTAACGTCAAATCTAAAAATATTATGAGTAAGCATGATTCCGATTAATACTACACAAATTATATACAATAAGTAATAAAAAAAAAACATTTAGTATACAAGAATTATGTCACCATATTTCTAGAGAGGATCANGACTAAAGGCTCAACGGAAAGATAGCTAGGCTACCCCGATAGCTACACAAATTAAATAAGACTTTGTTAAAAAATAAATGTGTCCAGTATATCTTAAGTCTATAATAGACACTTTTTTCCCTGCAATTGAGTTTCTTACTCTCAAAACCCTTATTGATTTTAAGTATCAAAGTGTCTTTAACTAGTCCACCCTGACCCCTAATAATTTGTTCGTTTTGCAAGAAAAAGGTACACAATGTTTATTTTGTCTCAAAAACCAAGCACACAAATTCTACGTCATGCCAATATCAAGTGCGAGATTTTTGGGGTTTTCTCTCAAAAACTCCAATCTCCGCATTCTATAATTTACACTTATATTAATGTCAAATCTAAAAATATTATGAGTAAGCATGATTCCGATTAATACTACACAAATTATATACAATAAGTAATAAAAAAAACAGTTAGTATACAAGAATTATGTCACCATATTTCTAGAGAGGATCAAAAACGCATGACCTTATCTCACATAAAAACATTCAAATTATAATAGAGCAATGTCACTCACCCAAGAGAAAGAAGACACTTACAAAACAAGAATTAGGTTTATAAACTAAAACCAATGGGTCTTTGGTCTAATGATATTTTTTGTCTTGTAAAGGCTTTGCCTTTTTGAGGTCAATGGTGACTTAAGATAATTTGAGGCCTAAACAATATCTATAAATGAGGTTTTCTATGTTTACTATAAATTTATTTTTCTTAACNTTTGAGGTCAATGGTGACTTAAGATAATTTGAGGCCTAAACAATATCTATAAATGACGTTTTCTATGTTTAGTATAAATTTATTTTTCTAACCTTTGAAATGAAAAAGTACTAATTAAGTTTTATATTCAAATTTTACTACCATATTTTTTTATCAATTAATAGTATCGTTAATCCAACTAATTTCTCTTGTGACATAATTGGTCATTTTTTGTTGAGTGTTGGTCAACTTAGCTTCTTGGCTTCTTAAGACAGAGAGATTTGTAAGTAATAATTTGATTTGATAATATCTTTTTTACCATTAATTTTTTGGGTTTTTAATGTTTGGATTGGATTATGGGCCTAAATGATTGAATTTAAATTATTTTTGATTGGGTATGTGTTTATATGATACCTTTTTGTCAAACTTAAAATATTTATGAATTTAATTTTGTCAAATGGATTATTTAAGGTATTTAAAAATTTGGGGTCTCCCATAAAAATGAGGCCTAACCCAAACTTTTTTATTTCTACTGTTGACACGCCCCTGCTTGAGGTCAATGGTTTAAGTCCTCTTCCCCTCCCCTTTCCTCCTCTCCCTCCCAAAAAAAAAAAAAAGGTTTATAATGTAAAAGTCTGGACTTTACTAAATCTGATATCAACTACTTTTCACGAAACACATTATATTATAACCCGGACTGGTTGAACCTACCTTATTAATGCAGGTGCATGAATGGCCATGTCGGCTGTGTCCACCACAGTTTGATAGGTGCACTGTCTGGAGACAACACTATCACAACAGCATTTTAAACGTTCACGCAAAAGAAAATACAAAAAAAAATATGGTGGGGGCAACCACAAAAAGACAGCAAACATGTTGATCTAGTTGCATGAGGGACCTCTATTAAACTACTTGCAACTTGCAAGATGTCGTCTCAAAAAACATTACCTGACCAGATACAAATACAAGGTGGCTGGCTACAAATTAAAGCTGCAAATGATAAGACACTGGACACAAGTTGGACGTTGTCCAAATGGATAAGTCCGTGGCATCATTGTCTCACCCTCGTTATCAAGACTGTCTTACATGGTATCTCAAGTTCAATCCAGTGCCATTCTGGACTGATTGTGGTAGCAACCACTCCTATAGATGTCTTAACCACCAACTAGGGGATCCAAAC